TGTGTGAGAGTTGTAGTTCTAGCCATCCTAGTGTTCCTAGGTTGAACTTCGTTGTTTTAAGGCAAGACCTGTCGCAAACTAGCAACTACAGAGACCCAATAGTTGTCCCAGAATGGTTGTCGCTAGATGATGCCGAATTAAGTTACAAACCTCAGGGCGGTTGGCCGGCTTGTGGGTCAGTCTTGCCTCAATCTTAGGGTTAGGGTTAGGTCTCAACTGGCTTCTACGTAGACTAAAAGAAGATATGTATGGCGAAGAGAGAACACAAGCGTGATATGTATGTAATAGCTTTCAGTTTACAACGTGGTTGCGTCAATGCGAACACCAAAGCAAAAACAGGTAAGATCAACCCAAGAATAAGATAGGTGAAGAAGCAGAAAACTTAAAAGGTCTCCTTACCAAATCATTCAGATAGGGGCGATTGAATAGAGCCGAGCTCGGCTTTCTGGTCTAGCATGAGTCTGGAGGTTATGCACTTCAAATTCAGATCGTGGGTATGGTAGGCACTGTCGACATATGTAGGAACACGGTATGCAGGAACATGTCTAACACTGTAACGGAAACAAGAGAGTCAACAGTGCATTATAAGTCTCAAAGCGTGGGAGACCTAGTCAAAGAAGCTACGACTAACTTTGAGAAGGTAAAACAAAGAAAGATACAAAAGCTCGACAAAAGAGTATGGTTATGAGCAGAACAAACTGTCTTTCTAGTAAGGCGGGTCAATGTAGAACAAATCTCTGTATAGTCCTTTTAAACACACTTAACACCTATAGGAGACCATTGCAGTCCAGGCTACCAAAGGATAGGGTTATTTCAGGCTGCTGAGGGATAGTTCCTACTTCCTGTCCCTGCTTTGTACTATTGAGAGGACCGTCTTAATTTCGATCGTTTTAAAATGCTCATCCAGCGATCCCGAGTTAATGGAGAAAAAACGCGCGTTACACACCAATCTCTACAGCTCTCGCCCTAAAACATGCTTTCGATCCTTTGTGTTTGGCCGAGAATATAGCAAGACTACCATATCAGAAATTAGGGTATTAAATTAGAGTGTTGAGCAGCCAATGCACTCCAATGCAATGTATGGCAGTCTGGGCTCCTTTGAGACATACTAACTATCATATAAATGCAAATATCGTGATACTAGGTCAACATCCACGTGTGCGTCGTCCCCAACTCACTGTCTCGCCCCAGGCTAATCAGGGAATATCAGTGGCAATTCAAATGCCGCAAATCCGTTTTGGTACGAGTTCAAGGTACCAGCTAAGATTCCTACTACTAATGATGCCATTACCTGGATATGGGTGAATAAGATTAGGAACCGCGAAATGTACATGAACTGTGCCTGATGACGCTCATAGCAATAGATTCCGTTGGAAAATAAGCGTTACAGTGATTCTGAGATTTTGTTCACATTGTATCTAGGAAGATTCGCCTGGCACCTGCGGGAAAATATTCACCGATGCTCAGCCTGTGGTACATAGCTCTATCTCCGGACGGCTTTGGATCCAAACCTTAATACAGGCGACGTCTGCGGCAAGTGGATCACCATCAGCGCGCTATTGGTAAGACTGCTCGTGCCCAGGTACTAGATATGTACCCTAGTTGTAAAAAGGGCTATATTGATGTCACACCTACAATTCCCGATAATTTTGTCGATTTGGCGGTTGGGATGATTCCAGTTTCTTGGGAGTATGACGGCGAAGCCATCACTACCGCGGCCGAAGAGACGTTGCCCGTGTCCACGCTCTTCACCGTTACCTTGACAACCACTGTCTGGGTGACACTTACCCCTGGGGGATGAGACTCACATAGCAGCTAAACAAGGCTCACTTCTATTCGATGCGACTCTAGAAAGTTTTATAGTCTCTTCGCTCTCTTTGCCTTCCGTAAATATAGCGACTTCATTAAACCCAAGAATGTATCGTCGTGCATAGCCGAGGTATAAAGGGGTCTTGGGCAGCCAGCCCCGCCTCCAACTGATGACTAAAGACAACTAGGATCGCTCTGATGTGCCTTCATTAGCCATGGATAGGTTCTTGTGACGTAGCCGCGAGGATAGCCGTTGCGTCCTACATAAGCTCCATCAGCGATCACCGTGAGCTGCTCATTCTAAAGGTGGGCCAGGCTTTGGCTGAACAAAATGGTTAAGACAAACCGGTACATGGTGTTATAGAGTTGATTTTAGAAGCCCTTATAATGCTTCATAGTGTTCTTTACATGAACTAGCGAGGGGCAAGATTTAGGTCGTGTTAGCCCAGATCTTGGACCCGAATGTCAATTTCTTGGTCTAAGAGAGTATGACGTCAAAATCATTATATCAATTTCCTAAAGCACATAAAATAAAAGTGGGAGTGAAAAGAATAGCTCAATATCTAACTAATAACTGTTTAAAACACTATGGGCCTTGACTCGAAGCTCTTGCGCCGATCAACAACTACGTGGGCACATCTCCAAGCGGATCGATCTCTTAATCCCATAATATCGCAAAAAGACTTAGCCACAAGCCAAACCTTTCTTTGGTCCCGCCTACTGGCTTAACTCAAGTTCGGAAGGGCACACTAGGTAGATCCCATTTCTAGGCGATCAAGGCCTAGCCCAGAATATAGCCACCTAGAACCACTATACGCCTGTATAACTGCTCGCTTTCTCTACTTCATTTCCATGACTCAACTGTCTTGGGTCAAAATGAAATATATTGCCTCTGTTATTGTTTTGACGGGTACTGCCGCTGCAGCCCCCCACACCATGCTTCTACCCAGAGATACTACAGAAAGCGGAGTTGTACATACAGAACTCTTCGGGGGACCTGTTAGACTCTACTATGGGGATATTGCAATCGATGGCTCCTGGCACCCAGTGGATACACAGGGTCAGTCTGTATCGAGGATCCATAACACATGGAGTAACACGCTTAAGTATTTCTACTGCCAATACTTTCCATCCTCTGTAGAGGGTGATTTTCATTCAGGCGCTGAGGCATCATATAATTTGGGTAGCCCCAAACCAATCACACATATGAGATGCATATATGAGGAGGAATAAGTAAATATAGCTTCTGAGTAGCTAATAGTGAGGTCATTTCGCTGTTGAGGTAAACCATCGTTTAATAGTTCATTTGATTTAGCAAATGGCAGAACGATGATCGGATTCAGCCTACATATTTAGAGTTGGGAAGCTGGCTGTAAGTTCGTATTTGAAGAATCGATGAAACCAGCCTCCGCGAACCAACCTTTTCCTGGCAAAGATGAGAAAGAAATAGCAATCAGGGTAGATTCGAACGCCTGGGCTTAACTGCCCTATACATTAGCTTCGATTTCATCTTCCCGATGGATGCCAGCCTAATCCTCACGACCCAATATAGAAACCGAAGTGTCCAAAGCCCGCCTCCCATAAGAACTGGATCTTTTCCATACCAATTTGGTGGGTATGGGCATGCCACAACAGGAATGCGAGTGATACCAATACCTGAATCCGGTGAAATTGAATATGTACCTAAAGACTCATTGTGGCTGTAGCTACTATTTCGAGAAAGAGCTGGAGTAGTGTCACTTGTAGCCTATCTTATTTTCCAGGTATAGATAACAACACAGCGCTACCTTTTTTAACTTCTGATTATCTACAATTTTTTGAAGCAGCTTTCATAATGCAAATATATACCGGCCCTCCAATCTTAGATATCACGATTATAACAGCTGTGGCCTTTATTGTTCTATTCTACATGCGCTGCCCCATCATCATCATGCAATACTACCAACAACCAAGCAACTTCAGTCTTGCCCCTTATTCATACCATGAGCTACCCTAGGTACGAATCCCGACGGATCAATTGGGCTCTCATGTAAGCCAAGTAGGATGGTTCTGCTGAATACCTGATGATTGTGAAGGTAATTACCCCGTCGCCAAATCCCTGTTCCTAGTATCTTCAAGGCATGTTTCGTGTTATGCATCCAGTCTTGCCCCACACTCAGAACACAATGCTTGACTAGACCTATCAAGGCAGGTATTAGATTCATCTTCTCTTTGACTAGATCCCCCCCGCCGGGCTTCCAACCCTCTGTCGTTTATAAGTAGAGACCCCGGCCACTTTGAACCAGTCTGCGTCCTTCAGTATTCATCTTTCAAACACATTGAGCCTCAATGAGGTTGTAAGCCTTCCATGACCTGTTCTGAATCTGTGCAAATTGGTTGTCAGTCGTAGGAACACCGAACCCACGATGACAGAAGTAGATCCCCGAGCGATTGTTATCCATGATTTGGACAATCTGAAGGGATGGCTCCAGCCACACAATGTAGTATCGGAAGGTCGGGATGGGACGTGTCGGACGTTGATGAGAATATGAAAATACTTTGGGTCTCGAGTTACTGCGCTGCTACGATAATCGACCCTCATGAAGTGATAAGATGCTTATTTTATCCCGTTGATTTTAATCTTTTTTAGGTCCAGGAAGTATGCCCTTCTTGCCTTATGCCTTGGCCCTTGTGAATACTAATGTTATGAAGAATGGCAGAACTGGTGCGCCTTTTATGCAATAGTGTGAGCCCATACATAATTGTAAAGCGTGGGTTTATAGTCTTATGGAATTTCTTGTGCCTCTTTATCTGTACATTCTAAATATTCATGGTTTCAGTCTATGTAATGATGACTCGATCTATAACTAGTGAGCTAATAACGTATCCATAACAGGGGATTTCCCCAGGGTTTCGCTCTTCCGAGAAATTCAGACTACATTCGACCATTCACCATTGCTCAATCCTAGTTCATCGCAGCTAGATGTAGTTTCCATGAACTGTTCAACGGGAAGTCGAGGTTCGATCACAAACCACTCATCCTCAATGAACTCGTTCGTGATTTCGGTGGTCTTGTTGTGAATCTGACTCTGTGGGCCTCGTTTCAACTCAGCGCACTGTTCCCACAAGTTACGTGAAACTTCCTTCATATTTGATTGAACGGATATCAGCGGATCAATGAGCGACACACAAGCTTGGCCCTTGTCGCTATCTCAGTTGAACCGTGGCTGAAAGTGGTGTAGTCCGTCTAAATCCACCATATTGACATCAGCGCATTGCATTCCAGTAGGATTTTCGTTGCGTGCTGCCAGTCCCTCGTGGGTGGAATCTCTGTCTAATATAGAATTCACCAGCGTTTCCAAGCTACCAATGCATTGGTTTTTGATTAATAGGGCGTCGCTAAAGGCACGGTGGGACAGAGAGGGCCCAATGTCTGTTCGAATCTTGCTAAACGCTCCTGTATCTTTTTTGTAAAGAGCAAGAACCCTGCTCTCGAAAATAGAGTCTAGGATGGCTCTGACCTTGTTGCTTGGAGGTGCTTGCTTGTCAGACTTCTCCTCTATCTCGATAGCTAAGGCAGTCCAACCGTCAAAAAGCCTAGAAACCTCAAAGCCAATACCATACATGAGGTAGGCTGGGACATCGGCCGACTCATCATATGGGAACGCAATCCGATAGATCTTTGTCCACCATTCAACTTCCGTGAGTTTGTCTCGGGGCTTTAGTATCCGGCGTTGTTGTTGCTCGCTGAGGCCGTCCACTTCCACATTCCTGGGTTTACATACGTTGCTTCTGGTATGCATATCTCTTTCAATTGCCGTTTTAAATGCTTGGCAACATACTCCGCAACGGGGGGGGTCGATGTGGCGCTTGAGGCAATGAGAAATAACGTCATATATAGAACGAAGGTTCTCCAATTGACAGGTCCGATATCTTGTGCCATCCTTCACGAAGAACGGACAAGCTAAAGGGAAGTCGTTTGTTCTCAAGTTCCCGATAAATTTCCAGGGATTAGCCACTTTATTTGGCTTTTTGTATATGGAGTTCTTAACCCAATAGAATAACCATTCGTTAATCAGTGAGCTTAGTGAGTTTATAGCGGGCAAATACTCAGGCCGGGCTATAATTATCGCCATCTCACTCTCTTCGTTCCTGACCTCGTCGCTGTATTCTTCCGAGTTATCGCCATAATCAGAGTATCTGTCCTCATCTGAGCTATCATGGCACTCAGAGCAGTCTCTGCATTGGATGCATTTCTGTATTTTTGGCCGAATTCCGATCGGTCTGTAAAACGTTCTTTCTGGCAAGGATAGCATCTTAAGCAGAAGAATTTTAAAAAGGTAGCAACGCGGTTTTATGATTGTCGAATGCTGTTGAGAAGACAGATGGTAAACTTTACCGTAACGGAGACTACTTCTTCTATTTTATAGGTAACATATTATACAGTGATGTCGATACCAGTTAGCGCTATCAGAGGAAGGGCACAAATGTGAGGGTTCAGGGTGCTACTCAGTGTTACATAAGTATGATCAGGCGGACTCGTTAGCTGTATTACGTCGATAAAATTACACTGCCATCACAGGCGCAGGGTAGGGGGATGCTTTGATGTACAAAACTCGGCCGTCACTCTGGGTTTCCGTTGCTTAGCCCCTGGTCTAAGGCTATGCTCTTAGCTAGTGCGTCTATGTACATCTGTGCCGCTAAGCAGACTTACATTACCTTAAGAGACAAACTTTATTAGAGAATCCCTAGCAATATTGTGCAGTGGTAGCTACACTCGGTGAGGATTGAGGACCGCTTCGCGATTTGAAACCTGTTCGTCTTAGTCTAAGGCAAATTAGGGCCGATATTGTGTAGCAGATTTGATGTAGGTTGGGAAACTCCATTGGATACGAAGAGCCTCTGGGGGGCAGTGGCCTGACGTGGTGATAACCACCCATGGATCAAAAGCGGCTATTCTCCGCGAGAGAACAGGATTGCATCATCCCATGTGTCTCCGTGGAAGCCTCTCAGGAGCTTATTTTGAATATTAGATGCGAAGGGATGCTCCACCCCTTTGCCAAGAAGCTACCAGCTGAGCTTTGATTTAGCACTTAGATTCAAGGGTTGCCTAACTCAAGCTGCCCAATTCCGCCCGCCTACCTCCATCTGTCTGCAGGCAGGGAAACTAGGTCTTTGTAGTCACTTTACCATCCTTGCTTTATGACTCCACAATAGCGGTAGAGAAGTTGCTCTTATTAGACGGTCCTTTGCTAGGATCTACCATAAGATGAAGGGCCCATCGGCAGGAGGTTCAATATCCTGCCGAAAAAAATGTACCCATACCGTCGCTTTGTGAAGACTACTTGAGCCTAGTTCACGCCTGGCAGTATTCTGCGTGGAAACCCAGACCCACTTCTCTCGGACCTTGGAGCCCCTCTGGGGCGATGATCCCAAGCGTTTACCCAATGACTCTGTTGGTGTCGCCACCAACAGCTTCCAGATTTACAGGTGAAAAGGATAAATTGAGACTGTTGCTTCTAACTAGTA